TTATGTACTCGAACACCGGCATGTGACGCTTCGATGGTCGCATGTACTGACCAAAAGTCATGACATCTATACCAGCTGCCCTCACTTTCTCCATGGTTTTCACCACTTGATCAGGCGTTTCTCCGCAACCCAGCATTATAGAAGTTTTGGTGAGTGTACCTGCTGGGGCATATTCTTTTGCCATCACAAGAACATCAAGGGACTGCTTAAAGTTAGCACGGTGATCGCGGACTACATTCTGGAGCTCCTCTACAGTTTCAATGTTGTGTGCAAAAACATCCAATCCAGATTTGGCAACTTTCTCCACACAGCCAGAGTCCCCGCGGAAATCAGGAACTGCAGGTTCAGAGAAAGTGATGCAAATCTTAATTTACGCATAAGTCGTCACCATGATTCACTGTTGTCGTGTGAAATAGTGCATCAATAAAGCAACAGTCATGAACAAATTAAATTGACAAAAACTTTTAAGTTCAATGATAACATAGGATGGTTGAACAAAAAATATTGTCACGTGCATGTTTATTTGAGACCACTCAAAACATGTAACTGAGGCTCTTTTCCCATCACAATTTACAGCAACAACTGCCTGTAACATCAATAAAGTAACAATCACCAACGTAAATTAACAAACTTAAAAGTTTAAAGATAACATTAGATTGTTGAACTGAGTATATTGTCACGTGCATTTTTTTTGGGACCACTTAATTCGGATTTATAACTGAGGCCTTTTTCCAAGAAAAATTACAACAATGACTGCCACTAAAAAACTTCACTCTGCATAAACAAATAACAGAATGATTGCTTGCAGTTTACATTCTGCACTTCGAGAACAAGAACAGCTACTTACTTGGCACAAAGTGGTCCTTAATTAACTACATATGAGATCTAGCTGATCATATATGCATTATTTTGAGCAAAATCATAGTATTACACACTTTCAGACAACATCTATAAATCAGGTTTCTTGGTGATCCTTTCCTTCAGTAACTCGACTCGTTAATTTACAAGTCCATGAAACATCGTAGAAACACTAAAGTCATACCCAAAGCTTCTATAAGCATTGCTGGTTTCAGCCTCTTCAGTGTCTGCACAGTCTCTGCAAAATGACCACTTCCTTGATCAGGCAAATCATCACGATCAACGCTAGTAATCACCACATAATCTAAACCCCAAGAAGCTATTGCCTCAGCCACATTTTTTGGCTCATTAGGGTCAGGAGGTGGCGGGGTTCGTGATGTCTTCACATTGCAAAATCTGAAGTTTTTTTGGAGAAAACCAATCAGAAGAAAATAATTCATAGAATCGAAGATTTTTTCATAATTTCAGCATTTCCTGTCAAAAGAAAAACTTATTCTTTCCCCACAAGATGAGTATATTAAGAAAGCTGCTATTTACTGTATTAAATTACATATCTTCATTATGGAAAGTCTTCGAACCTCATGATTTAATTGAAACTGAAAAACTTATATTTCTGTTTTCCATTGTACTTGAAAGAGTACTAATTAGTTACATTCGGGTTTCAATTACCATCATAGAACTCGACCGAAAGAGGTTCTTGTCAGCCATGATTCATGGTTTGAGCAGATCCTCATCAAGAGTAACTCCATTATGTTTACTTTTATTGTATATTGTTTGTACCTAAAGCAACAAAATCATATTTCTAGGTAAAAAGATACTGTGACAATATCTAAATATAAATAAGAAAGGTAACCAAATCAACAGATTACATCTTCTATGCGAGTCACTGATTTCATCTAACATTATGGTTTCTCAAAAAGGGCAATGCTGCACCAATCACTGCTTCATAAAATTAACAAAGAAAGAGGAAACGAAATGCGAAAATTAAATAACCAAAGACACGAAAATTACTCAAGGGGTCAACCATCACCTGCAGCCCCGAGTACAAGTATCGCCCAGAATCATAATCGTGGCAGTTGCAGTTCCCGTTTCACCTCCAGACCAACACTCCCCCAAATTAGGGCACTTAGCCTCCTCACAAACAGTATGCAATTTCAATTCCCTCAATTTGCTCTTTATCTGAGTGTACTTTTCCCCACCGGGGATAGATTCCTTCATCCATTTAGGCTTGGGAAGAGGCTTCTTCTTCGTTCCTACCTCCACAGAGTAACTCTGATCTGATTGGAGCTTTAAGAAGTCGGCCAACGTCGGTGATTCATCGGCAAGGCGACGGCGTAGGCCATCGAGAGTTGGGGGGTAATTCTGGAAATTGGAGTGCAGCGGAGATGGCGGAACTGCGGTGGAGAAAAGCTGAGCGAATCGGGAGAGAATGAGGGTGGGCTTGGATCTGTGCGATCGATTGGCGAGGGAATTCATTATCCTCGCTCAAAAAATTTGATCGGTTTGTGTGTTTGCAAGTTTATGGAGGGGAGAATACCGACTTGGCAGCAATGGACATCGTTTTTGTAATGGATGTTACTATTTACCACATGCCTTTTATTAAATACCAAAAAATGACGATTTTGCTCTTTCAATAAAAAAAATAAATAAATAAGAGATTAATTTTTTTCGGCAAATGCAAGATAAATCCCTCCTGCCATATTCAAGTTCCTTGTCAGTCCCTAAGTTAATTTTATTCTTCTACACTCCCTAACACATACTTTCTTTTTCCACTTCAGTCCCCTATATATAATAATATTATTATTATCCATTTATTTTACTTGAAAATAGAAAAAAAATAGTAATTTCTCTCTCAATTCTCGTCTCTCTCTCATACGCTCTATCAGTTCTCATCTTTCTCTGAATCTCTCTTCGTGAAATTGCCTCCGGGAAATCTAGATCTCCGGCGTCCGAATCGACACACAGGAAGAGCTCGCGAGGCCCATCCACATTCGTAAAGAAATAACCGAAAAAAAAGTTTCCAGGCCTCGTACCGCGATTACGAGGATCCCGATGGCTTCTCCTCCAGAGGTGAAGAAGACGATGACGGGACAAATTCCATCCCGGAACTGTTCCAGCGTGACCGTTGTCGGAGGATCTTCATTTGGACATCTACACAGGCCGGGGGCAGGCAGTCACCGATTCGGAGTCCGATTCCGAGGTAAATCTAGGGCTTGTAACGATGGCGATTATTACGATCCTTTTTATGGTTTTAACGATAATTATCGTGCTGGTGATAACGAGAGGGACGATTCTGAGTGGGAATAGGTGAGTGAGAGAATTCACTTTGATAAGAGGGACAATTTGGATCTGGTTTCAATGGAATCGAAGAAATATATGTTTCCTCTAATATTTTTACTTCGGTTTCTGTCCAAATTTCTGCACTTCGTCTCCCGATTTACCTTTTCTGCTGCAATTTTTCCTCAATCGTGATTTAGTGGTCGCGGTCTTCAATCCTGTAGCGTCGTGTTCAGTCGAGATTTTCTATTCCCAGCGTGTTAGCCGCGGTTCTTTGGTTACTCCCCTGGCAGGCTACTCGTGATCCCTATTTTGCGAGATATCAAGTCCAGATTCAACGTATTTCGAGATTCCAAGTGAGTCGCGTTTTCGGTTTGTATGTGTTTATTCTCTTTTAGGAATATTTTTTCTTGATTTGTGGTGTTGGTTGTGATGTGTTAATCTTGATGTGCGAATCACATTTGTATTGCTCGTTTTCTTGTGAATCTCACACGAATTGATGCTCCCAGACTTCCGTGGCGTGAGTTAAGTTGCTTTCGGATGCTTTGCCCTTACTCGCAATTTTTATATGATTCTCGACAGGAATTTTCTTAATCCTTGATGTGTGTCGCTCCTGCTAGTTTCTGATTTTTCGCGAGATGCTCTCGTGATGGGCAGATTGCTCTTTTGCTTTAGATTAGTAGTGATTCCTGCTTTTACGTGTTGTGCTCGTCTTTTTGGGTTGCATCCTTGTTTGGTTCGTTTCCCTGTGGCTAAGTCGATTGCTACTTTGTATGTTGCTCGCATACATCTCTGTTAGCAATATGCAGAATCGATCATTTGCATTCCATTATAAATCATTCTCCAGCTTCCGGTGGCGGATTCATGCTATTTGACATGCTGTATCTAATCTTGTTATGCATATGCGCTACATATATTTTTTTGTTTTTAGCTGCAACAATGCTTTAACTTCATTTTGCTTGCAGCTCTAATAACAGTAGTGGCTAGAAGCTCAAATTCTACCATAGCCTGCTCATGGCTTTTGTAGCAGCTCGCAGATCGGATAATAACATACCCCACTCGAGGCTTTTGTTGCATCTCGCAGCTCAAATTTCACGATAGCCCGTTCAGAGATTTTTGTAACAGGTCGCAGCTCAAATTTTTTGTCGTAGCCCGCAGCTCGTGCCAACTTGCAATTCGCAACTCAAAGTTGTAGCTCGCTCCTAATTTCATTCTTTGTAATTTTAGTTAGTGGTAGACATGATAGTTAATCTAGTTCACGTTTGTCTTAAATATGATACGATGTACATTGTACTATAATTTTTAATGTTTTTTGCATACCAGATATCGGGTCTTCAGTGCCAGCACCGACGAACATAAGAGAAAAAAGAATTCCGTAAAATGGTATCAGTTTTTTTTCACAAATAGTACCACTTCTTCTTCTATGCAGTACCGATTATTGATGAATTAGTACATACTTTGTAGAAAGAACAAAAAATAGATTACATCAAATTTGGTCAACGTTTACAAAATTGGTACTAGATATTGGGTCTTCATGCAAACTCCGACGAACATAAAAAATACCGAAATTCAGTCTCAAATAATGTTTACATGACCAATAATTATTCTCGATTAGCTTCTATGAGATTTAGAATGTGTTTAATTAAGTTTAATTGCAAATTGGTCAAAAACTCAACACACAACATGAAAATACACTACTAATACACTTCATCTCATTGGTCATATGTGATTTAAAATATTTTTAATTGAGTTTAATCACAAATTGGTCATGAACTCGACACACTAATGAGAAAAACACTACTAATACACTTCATTTCATTGAATGACACACTTCACCTCATAGAATCATCTTATATGACTACTCCAAATTCTACATATATGCTTTAACTTCCACAATTTTCATCCAAATCACGCGTAAACGATCCACGTGAAAAGGCAAAGTTTTTTTTAAAAAAAAAAACATGATTCTTAAAATAGTACCTGTTTTAGCCAAAATAGTACCACATCTTCTTCTTCATGGTACCTCTTTTTGATCGATTAGTACCTACTTTTGTGAACGAAAATGGATAGTTTTAATTTTGGTCAACATTTACAAAAAGTAGTACCAGACCTAGACTAAGATAGTACCATTTTTCTATTGTGTTCGTACCAGATATTAGGTCATCAGTACCACTTGAAGCGAACACATAAAAACACTGAATTTCGGCCTCAAATGATGTTTATATGACTCAAGATCACTCTCATATTAGTTTATATGGGATTTAAAATATTTTTAATTGAGTTTAATGCAACTTGATCATGAACTCGACACAATAATTAGAAAATACTGCAAATACACTTCATTTCGTTGAATGAGACACTTCATCTCAATAGATTCATCATACATGACTACTCCAAATTCTACTTATATGTTTTAACTTACACTATTTTTTATTCAAATCATGCGTTAAAGATCCACGTGAAAAGGTAGACATGAAAGATTTAAAAAACACGATTCTTAAAATAGTACCTGTTTTAGCCAAAATAGTACTACATCTTCTTCTGCTTGGTACCTCTTTTTTATCGATTAGTATCTACTTTTGTGAATGAAAATGGATTGTTTCAATTTTGGTCAACATTTACAAAAATAGTACCAGACCTAGAGTAAGATGGTACTAGTTTTGTATTGTGTTAGTACCAGATATTGGGTCATCAGTACCACTTGTAACGAACACATATAAACACTGAATTTCGGTCTCAAATGATGTTTATATGACCATGATCACTCTCACATTAGTTTATATGAGATTTTAAATATTTTTAATTGAGATTAATCGCAAATTGGTAATGAACGCTCGACACAGAGAAAACACTCATAATACACTTTATTTTATTGAATGAACACTTCATGTCATAGAATCATCATACCTGACTACTCCAAATTCTACCTATATGTTTTAACTTCCACTATTTCTCATCCAAATCATGCGTGAACAATCCACGTGTCATGGTAGACATGAAGGATTAGAGAAACCACGATTCTTAAAATAGTACATGTTTTAGCCAAAATAGTACATTCTTCTACGTGGTACCTCTTTATGATCGATTAGTACCTACTTTTGAGAACAAAAATGGATTATTTCAATTTTGATCAACATTTACAAAAAGTAGTACTAGACTTAGAGTAAGATAGTACCAGTTTTCTATTGTGTTAGTACCAGAAATTAGGTCATCAGTACCACTTGTAACGAACATATAAAAACACCGAATTTCGGTCTCAAATGATGTTTATATGACTTAGGATCACTCTCACATTAGTTTATATGAGATTTAAAATATTTTTAATTGAGGTTAATTGTAAATTGATCATGAACTCGACACACTAATTAGAAAATACGACTATTACACTTCATTTCATTAAATGACACACTTCATCTCATAGAATCATCATACATGACTATTCCAAATTCTATTATTTTAACTTCCACTATTTTTCATCCAAATCATGCGTGAATGATTCACGTGTCATGGTAGAGAAGAATGATTAGAGAAATCACGATTCTTAAAATAGTACTTGTTTTAGA